AGGTGACTACGCCCAAAGAGGACCTGTCCCTGATAGGAGGTGACTACGCCCAAAGAGGACCTGTCCCTGAAAGGAGGTGACTACGCCCAAAGAGGACCTGTCCCTGATAGGAGGTGACTACGCCCAAAGAGGACCTGTCCCTGATAGGAGGTGACTACGCCCAAAGAGGACCTGTCCCTGATAGAAGGTGACTACGCCCAAAGAGGACCTGTCCCTGATAGGAGGTGACTACGCCCAAAGAGGACCTGTCCCTGATAGGAGGTGACTACGCCCAAAGAGGACCTGTCCCTGATAGGAGGTGACTACGCCCAAAGAGGACCTGTCCCTGATAGGAGGTGACCACACCCAAAGAGGAACTGTCCCTGATAGGAGGTGACCACACCCAAAGAGGACCTGTCCCTGATAGGAGGTGACCACACCCAAGGAGGACCTGTCCCTGATAGGAGGTGACTACACCCAAAGAGGAACTGTCCCTGATAGGAGGTGACTACGCCCAAAGAGGACCTGTCCCTGATAGGTGACTATGCCCAAAGAGGACCTGTCCCTGATAGGAGGTGACCAATTTAGAATCTCTCTGAGAAGAAGAACCCTGTCGTGCAGAAGCATCACTGCAAAGTTGTAGAGCAGAGGAAACGCTATAGATGGAGTGGGCAACCTCTGTACTTTAGCTGTGCTTGGACTACAAATCCCAGCATGCCTCTGCCTGTGGCTCAGTATTGGAACCTGGATACAGTGGGAAAGGGTAAAAACCTTTGTCAGGCTTGTCTACCTCCTCCACAACGGGGACCCAGAGCTGACACAGGGGTTCTAACCGAAAGGACATGCCGACTCCTCCTACAGCATGAGCCGGGATCCCCCTTCAGGTGTCATACCAGTCCACCGGAGACCTGCTGCATACCTGAATCTTTAAACGCTTGCAGAGAGTGGAGGTAATTCTCTGCCGCCGCCTCGTGGTCGCCGAGCTGGCTCAGGGCGTACGCCAGGTTGCCAAAACATTGACCTTGAGCCCTGCGGTTACCGAGCATGCCTGCAACGTGCAACACAGCAACACATGACAACCCATCACAATGACCACTAGGTGTAACCGGCTGCTGCCTTCTCCAAATACCCCCCCCCCAGACACGGGCAATGCCGGGACCAAGGATGATCAACCAATCAGATGTAACCCGGCAACATTGTACAAGACACAGGACAAGGAAAGATACATTGTAACTGCTTGCTATGGATTGCTGCATTGTATATAATGATTCCCGATCATGGCAGAAGCGAGTCAATTATTGGCAGTGCTCTGGCGCCCTCTAGTGGTCAGATTACATTATTACATGTATTGTATCAACCAAGGCTTTAGAACCAAGCACCAAACTTTTGTTGTATCTATAGGCAATCATCATCATCATCCTCATCATCATCATCATCCTCCTCCTCCTCATCATCAATCATCTTCATCCTCCTCCTTCTCCTCATCATCAATCATCATCATCCTCATCATCATCATCCTCATCATCATCATCCTCCTCCTCATCATCATCAATCATCTTCATCCTCCTCCTTCTCCTCATCATCAATCATCTTCATCCTCCTCCTCCTGCTCCTCATCATCAATCATCATCATCTTCATCCTCCTCCTTCTCCTCATCATCAATCATCTTCATCCTCCTCCTCATCAATGATCCTCATCATCATCTCCATCCTCCTCCTCCTCATCAATCATCTTCATTCTCATCATCATCTCCATCCTCCTCCTCCTCATCAATCATCATCTTCATCCTCATCATCATCATTCATCTTCATCCTCCTCATCATCATCTTCCTCCTCCTCCTCATCATCATCTTCATCCTCCTCCTCATCATCTTCATCCTCATCATCATCAATCATCATCTTCATCCTCCTCATCATCAATATTCATCTTCATCCTCCTCCTCATCATCATCCTCCTCCTCCTCCTCATCATCATCATCAATCATCATCTCCATCCTCCTCCTCCTCATCAATCATCATCTTCATCCTCATCATCATCATTCATCTTCATCCTCCTCATCATCATCTTCCTCCTCCTCCTCCTCATCATCTTCATCCTCCTCCTCATCATCTTCATCCTCATCATCATCAATCATCATCTTCATCCTCCTCATCATCAATATTCATCTTCATCCTCCTCCTCCTCCTCATCATCTTCATCCTCATCATCATCAATCATCATCTTCATCCTCCTCATCATCAATATTCATCTTCATCCTCCTCCTCATCATCTTCATCCTCCTCATCATCATCATCTTCATCCTCCTCATCATCATCGTCACCACCATCAATGATATCAATATATAATAATTTCCCCCAGTACAGTGGTAGTCACAATGCCCCCAGTACAGTGGTAGTCACAATGCTCCCAGTACAGTGGTAGTCACAATGCCCCCAGTACAGTGGTAGTCACAATGCCCCCAGTACAGTGGTAGTCACAATGC